CCCCAAGGTAGGGGAGAGCACCAAGCCCTTGGAAGCCCATTCCAGATTCTGGCAACTCTTACAGTAAAGATGTTCCTGATGTTTAACCTAAATCTGCTCTCTGCCAGTTTATGGCCATTGTTCCTGGTTACTCCAAGGGGCGCCCTGGTAAACAGAGCATCTCCTATTCTTTACTGCCCCCCACCCCACATCAATTTGTAGGCAGTGACAAGATCCCCTCTCAGCCTTCTCTTGCGGAGGCTGAAGAGATCCAGGTCCCTCAATTTCTCTTTGTAGAGCTTGGCCTGAAGGTCCCTAACCATACAAGTGGCCTCCTCTGGACCCTCTCGAGATTTTCCACATTCCTCCTAAAGTGTGGTGCCCAGAACTGGATGCAGTACTCCTTCACCTAAGTGCAGCACTTTGCACTTGTCTTTGTTGAACTGCATCCTATTGTGTTCTGTCCACCTTTCTAGCCTGTCCAGACCCACCTGGCTGCATTCCCTACCCTCTCACATATTAACTCTACCCCATAATTTGGTATCGTCTGCAAGTTTGGACAGAGTGCTCTCCAACCCCTCATTTAAGTCACTGATGAAGACATTGAACACCACTGGTCCAAGAACCGAACCCTGCGGGACTCCACTGCCCACATCCTTCCTGGCCAATACAGACCCATCCACCACCACTCTCTGGTTGTGACCCATAAGCCAATTCACCACCCACCAGACTGTGTAATCATTGATGTCACAGCCTCGCAGTTTATACGATGATCACCCTATGCTCCTTTGTCCAGCACAGCCCCTGTTCAGCCTGTTTGAATTTCACTTCCTGTTGTTGACAGAAGCATTCTGCTCCCTGTGGGGCTGGACAAGCCCTGTTTCTATTTCTAGCTGGTTATTAGGCAAGATTAGGCTGCAGCTGGCATCCTGGGCATGACTAGCTGGAGCCTGTCTGGGTGACGTCACCTCTTGGGGCTGGGTTTGGAAGCAGAGCTGGGCCGAGAACTGATCTTTTCTTCCCCTCTTGGAGGCTACCCTGACCTGAACTACTCAGCACGGAACCAGCTCTGCCCTGCATAACCAAATGCATTGGCCACCCCAAAAGCTTGGCTCTCTAGAAGGGAAAAGCAAAACTAGACACAGTGCTCTGCCCATCCACTGGGGCCCAGACAGTGCCCCGAGCCACAGGAAGGCAGGCAGCTGGGCTCTTGAACTCTGGCTGGCCCTGGCAGGGAAGGAGGGGAAGCTGGAGGGGCCCTGGCATTGCTCATGTCTACAGGGCCCATCGCTGAGTGAGGCAGAGGCAGGCAGGGCTGGGCCTCTGTGGGCAACAGGAGACAGAGCTGTGGGCTCAGGCCCTGGGGAATCCTCAATGAGAGGTGCTCCCACAAGACTCACTGATGCAGTGAGTGACTGTCCCCATCACAGCCAGACTCAGCCCAGTCGTGACTAGCACAGCCCAGGGCCAGCACAGGATGATAACTCTGCCTACCCCTGCCTTGTGCTGTGCTCACTCCCTCCAGCCCAGCCCTGTCCTGCCTGCAGTGCACCCTGCTTCCCTTCCCACACCCTCTGCTTCAGAACCAGTGCTGAGCATTGCCTGCTCTTCCTTCCTCTTCTCTCCCTTTGCACCAGCTGCTTCTCTTCCCAGGGCAGCAGATAATGCAGGCAAGGGTGTGCTGGAAGGGGGTGATGCAGTTCTCCTGTCCCTGACCTATTGCTCGGTACTTGTTGCTCAGCCCATCTCCATCACCTATTCCCAGATGGCCCCCGACCCTGATGGCAGCCCTGTGCAGAGTAACATGTCAGGGCATTGCAGAGGGCG